CTGAAAAATGATGCTGGTTTAAAATTGAAGGAGTTACAGGCTGTGGTATCAAATCATGAGAGATGAAAGGTTTTATCTGAGGGTAACTAATCAGAATTAACCTCAGGTAAGACAAGACTAGGAAAAAAAAAAGAAAAAGCCACCTGTAGAGTGGCTTTTGGGAAGCACATAGGAAGTGATGGTCCCAAATCAGTTCTCAGAGAATGGGGGTCTTCTGCATGGTATCCAGCATCAAAGCAACTGCATGACTGAAACACTTGGTACTCATTCCCACAGAAATGCTAAGGGGGTCAGATCAGACCCAAAACTGCTCTACCTCATCTTCTCCAGTGGTTCCCGCAGTAAGACTGTAAGGAATACTACTGGAATTTCGGGAAGCAGAGAATCATGTTTATCTATTCACAGTATGTTTGGCAGGTAAACAGAAAAGCTAATTCCCTAGAGAGATCAATCCAGTACTTTTCCAAAGTGCTTTCTGCAATATGCATACCCTCAACTTTGCTTTGAAAAGCAAAGAGTGGTGAATTTCCACATGAATATGTCTTTGCTTCAATTAATAACAGCACATCATTTTGGACAACAGCTCCCCAAACAGTGTAAAGCTGCTTAGTTCTTTCTCCAACAGATAACTGAGGCTGACTGATTAACAGACTGCTTGTAAACCATCAAGAAAAGATGCTGCTCTCAGAAATCACTGCTATCCATTTAATTTTTAGAGTGTAAAAATTAGGATCTTTAAACAAATCAGAGAGAATAAAAAAGATTCATTAGGGATCTTAGCTGGAAAGTATAGTATTTATTATCAACACTTTTTCAAGCGTAGCTCTTGCTGGGATGTGACTGTATGAGGCAGCTCTGAGACCCCAATATTCCCTCCCCTGCGGAGAGCCCATTGTGGCAGCTTCCATAGCTCCATCTGCCTTGTGCCACTGGTGTYAGATTCTGGATCCACAGCTATTTTGGGGCAGTTTGCCAGCACCAAAGAAAGATTTCCATCTTGGAGAACAGTCATGAAAGTGGAATATGTCAACCTCTGTACTTATATTCAGCTATTTGGACATAACATCTGAATAAGTTCTCCTTAGTCTGAGAAAATATAACATCAGGACTGCTTCTTACAGCAATCCTTCGAGTGACAGGATTTTGACAAGAAGTGCACCTGGGTTTGGYTCCCCTGCTTCAGATCCTCATCTTGATAGCATCAACAGGATGGCAAAATGAGAAGTTATGAAATTMGGCAATTTTCATTTGTATAAATATGGAGACATATGGATCAGTGTATTTTTATAAGCACAGGTACATGTGGGTTTCCAATATCACGTTGTTTTAAAACTCACAAGGAGTTAACAAAACTTAACATGGAATGCAAAAGAAGTAGGAAGCCTCATGTAGGAGGCTATAAAACTGTAACAACTGAGACTTCATGAGACAGGGATGTGCTCACTTGTGAACAGTATTAAAACACCAATTTTATTCAGGAATACAGAAWACATTTTTGAAGATTTCCAGTTTACAAAAGTTTAAGACAAGATTGGCTTTCAACATATAACCTCCCTTAAAACATTTAAGTAACTTCTCCATTTCAAGTTGACAAAACCCCTCAAATAGAAAAGAAATTTAGAAAGAAATAGAAAAAAAATTTAAAAAAAAGGAAAAAGGAAGGCCACAGTCCTGTACTGGGATACATTCAGGCAGCATCCAGCACAGTATTGAAATTCTTTCTGCAGTCTATAGTTTAGTCCATGGGTGTAATATAACCTTGTGTTGATAAAAAAATATTGCAGATCTAGTAAGAACTGCAAGAAAAGCCCTTGTCTTACCATTTTAGTTCCAGGCATTATATGCAAAGTAGCTTCCAGTAAGCAACARTTAAAAACAGTACTTGTCATTTGATCACCACATTAAAATACAGCATTAAATTTTTTCTTCATTTATACAATTTTAAATATTCATTAAAAACCAGAATCAGTGTCCCTCCATCCTTTTCATCGTTAATAGTTTTYCTTATCTACTAAAACCATTTGTCTTTGCTAAGATGTCTAAAAGTAAAGAGCACAAGATTAACARGCTGCAGCATTAATTAAAGTGAGAGTCATCTCTTTCTCCACTCAGTTTCTTAATCTATCACAAGGGCCCTATTAGCTGTATCAAAGTGAAGTGCTGTAAATAAAACTGATATGGCTTAAAAGTAGAGAAAAAGGAATGCAGAGTTATTTAAAAAYTGCGATGCAGTCAGTGCTGTTGTGTATGCCACTGCAGACAAGAGCCAAGAGACTTCTACACAGGCTCACTTTCAAAAGCATTACTGACAGTTTTCCACTTCAGAAGCAGAGACATAGATGGTAATTTGCCTTACAAGGAACTTCAGATTACTATCAAGTGGAATCACTAATGGCTTAATKTTACATACACAGYGCTCTGATTTCAGCAAAGGWYACAGAWTTTTATTTATTTGTTTTTAAGTGACCTTCTTTCCAGAAGACCTTCRTTTACCTCAAGTAGTCATTTCTTCAAACTCTTTTGTTCAAATAAATTAATAGCCATACTGAGGAGAACTACTCAATACAATGGTCACCATTCAGTACTGATGTGGAAATAGAATTTGGCTCTGAAACAAAACTTAAATTGATTTTACTTTTGTAAGAATGGGTCTTTCAAATCACATCAATTTGTTTATAAATATTAAGTAGAAAAGAAAGCTCTTCGACGACTAACATCAAACTAGAAAGTTAAGAACAATTGCAAACAATAGGATGATCAATTCCAATTTTACCTGCTACTAAAAAGAAACCCTACTATGTGGTATTGGATGAACATTTAACTATAGCCTTACAAGCTGCAGGATTTTCAATGAAATATTTAATTTCATCAGCACATTTCTCAGGGATTCCACTGAATAATGCAGCGTAGCACTGTATTAACACACTAGAAGTGACACATCATAAACAATTTCTGTGTGATACTATAGCAGTTTCCAAAGAAACCAGCCTAGCAAACCTGTTCTACAAACCAGAAAACTGGAGCAAGATGAGCCAYCCCAAATTTTCTCATGTGTTTTTGGAACAAGGCACTGAACTGTTGCAGTCCTCAAAGTTCAGTGATCCCCATGAGTAACAATGAAGAGGAAGACAAGACTTGTCACTCTTTTTGGATCTCTAGATAATAACATTTAACAACACCCAGAAATGCAGGTAACAGTCTCTTCAATCAACATTCAAACAGAAAGGCACAATCTCTTTTTAATTTGTGTTCTCAAAAACTAAAAGGTTCCTATACAAAGATAAATACACCCTTAGCTGGAAGGGAAAACACACCATTTAGAATGTTTTTCTCCTTTTTTTTTTAATAAAGTCCAAATGGATTATCTTAATGCAAAAGTTACATGAATATATACAACCTGAAAGAGTATTTATATATAWATATGTACATATATGACAGTGACTGACACAGAAGGCAGAAGAAACAGGCTATATTCACTCTTTTCCCACTTCTCAGCAACACACGGCAATGTTTTTCAAATGCCATGGGCACGTAATGTTTGGTTTGCACACACTGGTGTCTTAGAATACACATGGTGAAATTCAATCCCCTGTGGAAGGCTTGTTTGAGGGATATTGGACACAATGATTTAGTTTCACTAATACAGCCTTAGGCCACTTTAAAATTAGAATGATATCTAATTCCAATAAAACTACTGCAAACTCTTCAATGGTATGTTTGCAAGACCAATATAAAGTTTCTAAAACTGTGACAGAAAACCATTAAGGTTAATTCTGATACAGGATAACATAGCTCTCTTACAGAGGCCAAGCAGAACCTTAATAAAAGGCAAGAGGGACAGTGGGGTCCRGGGATCACAAGAGATGCCCCTGCACCCACCTGTACTATTACCTCATTCATGTATTTGAGTCTTATCTACCTTTAAAATAAAGAGTAACTGTCTGCTGTGTGACAATGACAACAGCAAGCCTATGACCTTGGTCAGTCAGTAATAAAGCTCAATCCTCCTTTGTGCAGGACAGCATAATTACATGGCAGTCAGCTTCCTTCACTTCCTTAAAACAGCAAGGTCTGTTAAATGACATCGATCTTTTACACAGAAGGAGTGGGAAATGTGGGATAGATAAATATAAATAATTTTGAAGGCAAATTTCTCCTTGGGCAAGAGGAAGACACTGCATTGCTTCCTGTACACTGAGCACAAGCATGGCACTGCAGTGGCATTTAAATTCACAGCTTCTCCCCTTTTGCCACTCTGAAAACCTTCACCTCTGAGGTGCTTTCACCAGGGTGATTCAAGGTGCATTGAAACACATCTGACTGGAGGCCATTACAAGACTTAGGGCAGAACAGACACAAATAATTGTGCTTTTCTGCAGAAGCTAGAATTTCAAGCAAATGAAAGTGAATAATGCTAACTCTGTAAAAACCAGTGAGTTTATCCAAAATGAAACTTGGACAGTTTAGAGTTCTTGTGGTGCAGTAGAACACATGTGATRCACTACGTACATACCTACACATGGTATTACACACATGTATCCATGCATGTACACATACATGCTGCAGATGGGATGACAAGCCCAACACCTTGCCCTGCATGACCTGCTTTCAGGTATTTTACAAATACAACAAACTAATCATTGACATTAAAGCTTTCTGTTAGGTATTTGCCTCACACCAGTTTTGGTGTTGAAGCTGGAACAATTTGGGATTTTGTTTTGTCGTTTAATTGCAGGGGATTAAGAGGGAACACATGGAGTAATGTTTTGCCACACAGGAAAAGAAGTCTTTCTGTTGTTTGAGAAGCTTCAGTGCCTCTGTACTCAGCCCTGATGTTTGAGCCAGGCCTGCCTTTGTGGTGTTGCTGAGACAACCCATRCAAAATCTGGCCTACATACTGGCATCTGGGAAAAAAAGCCTTGCTTAGTTAGAGTTGCTGCATCCTCACAAACTCCTTCACAGTGAGAATGTTCCACGCCATGCAGAGAAGGCGTGTCAAGTAGGAAATTTTCTATGATTTGGGCCCTGCCAGGTAGCCAGCGTTGGGCACCAGACCTCCAAGCAGAATGAGTGCCTCTCATGTGCTTCAGTGACCACCAGTTGGCACCAAACAGTAAGAAGAAACACCTCCCACGTCGACAGGATGGAAGGCAGTCTGAAAACAAAGTCCTTCTGGMACAGTTCTCATGCACAACTTCTGTATATATTATACACACACATATATACATTCATATACAGTAAGCAGTCCAATAAATACATAACATCAGCTCTTTCGACAAAGCACTGATGTTTCTCTTACTTGTCTAAACCAGAACTTGTTCACATAAACACTGTGGAGAGCTGATGTGACTCTAGGTTTAGCCCTCACTGCTCTGCCTTGGATGACTCCAAAAGGCTGAGCTCAGACATTAATTCAGTGTGAATTGAAACCAAGTCATAATTCAGGCACATGTCCCCATGAAATCTATTAGTCCCAGCAGATTAATCCACACAGACACAGTAAATGCCTTCCTGCCATCCCAACCACTGGAGCAGTTACACTTCTCTTTCAGCAGTGTGGCTGACCAGAGAATCACTCTGATCTCCTGTCCTCTCCAGAAGAGTTCTGTGCCCATCCATGCTGCCATGGAGATCTCTTGTCCAGCTGTCAGATGTGCCCACTGGACTTTCTGCCATGGGAGTGTCTGTGCTGGCCAAGCTTCCCGAGCGGGAGCGGTACGGAGGAAGGTCTGGCTGGTTAGGGGGCTCAGATTCAGAGCAGTAAGGMGGTGGAGGAAGGTCAAACCAAGGAGGCCTGCTGAAAGACACACAACACAGTAAGAAGTTACTGAAGACCACRGGACAGAAGATAGTACATGCTATTCCAATTATGAAAAAATATTTCTTAGCTTTTCAATTATGACACATATCAAGGGATCTCAGACCTGCCTATATTATTCAGGTAATTTTGAAATACCCACACCACCTCTGGGAAACCAAGTTTCTGGCCAAGGTGCAACATAGTAATTACAACCTGTTTAACAATCCACACGTTGAGTTAGACAGCTATGCAGTGCCAACAAAGCTGGGTCACAGACAGCTATGCAAGAAGTAAAACCCTTTCCTCTATAACATTTACACCACAGAAAACTCTTTAAAAGAAATAACATTATGTGGTGGATTTACACCTATAGACGATGACGTGAACAGAAGAAAGCTCCAAAGAAACCTCCACTAAGTGACAGAGATTAATGGCTTACAGTCTATGAATAAATAACAAACTGAGTTCTCCACACTGACAAATCACTTGGGCTGTCACGAGATCACATGCAGAGCAACTGCTAAGTAGGCACAGACAAGATGAGTACTGCATTCAGGAAAACTCTTCTCAGTGGTTCTGATAGCAAGCACGTAAAGGCACTGAAGGGTTGAGCATACTGATAACAGGCCCTGGGAGCAATTAGCTCCAAAACTGCTGATGGTTTTATCAGCTCAGGCAAGAAGTGATTACAATCTGGACAACTGCTCATTTAGTTATCCTTAATAATGAAAAGGCATCATTATTATGAAAGTCACCATTAAGACGAGGGATGTGCAGCCAAAAGCAGCAGAGAACAGGAATTTACTATTATTCTTAAATCCCAGGTCGTACTAAAAATACCAACATGGTGATTGTGAACAATCTAAATTGYTAAAGATCATACCATGTCCTTTTTATGTTGAGGGGATGTCTGTTTAGAAGTTTTGTTTGGAAAGACAGAGGTTAAAAGGAAGGTTAATTATCTTCAAATAAAACCAGTGTTGTAAGTACTAAAGCATCAAAAACCAAGCCACACCCACACCCCAAACTTCAAAGTACTTTCAGCTATTTAAATTGAGTTCTCTCCATTCCCGAGTCCTGTTCTTTTCTTCTCTTGGTAAAGGGCAAGCAGTGCAGAGCAGAAGAAWGATACAATTTCTTACACAACTGAAGAACTCTCTCACCTTTATATACTTTAAATGAACAGGGAAATATTTTTTCATTACGATGAYCTACAACTTGGCTGGGTTTTTTTGGTAAAACTCCAAGTTCAGTTTACACATTTGGTCCTGGACTGGCACAGGATATCACTACCATACAAGTGATACATTCTCCTGCCATTCTCAAAATTTTACTACCAACATGTGCTAAGAAAACATGACTTAAGTTTGCCTCAAAACCCTTTAACACCAGTAACAATAAAGGGATCTGACGACCATGAATTATTTTGTTTACAGAAGAAGCTCAAATTTACTGAAATTTGACCCTATGCAGGCGACAGCACAACACTGGACTTGTGTCTCAAGCAGCACTAAGTGGGGAGCAGCAGCACCGTTTACCAGAGCTGCAATCAGCAGTGTGACGCTTTGGTGAGTCCCGGCTCAGCTCTGTCCGTACCTTTGGTCGAGCACAGCCTCTGAATAGGACGGTGGGGAGTCCAGSTCCACGGGCCGGTGGTAGGGCTGGCTGGCCATGTACTGGATGCCGTTGTTGACGTTGTAGGTGACGCTGCAGTGGTGGGGGTGGTCGAGGACCACCAGGCGGGACAGCAGCACGGGGTGCTGCAGGCGATGCACCGGCAGCGTCATCAGATTGTTGCGCTTCCGCTGGTGGTGCAGCACTAAGGCCAGAAAGGCCACCACGAGGACGAAGATGACAGAGCTGCCAATGATGGCGTAGGTAATACTCGGGTAGTAAAGCAGCTGATTTTCCGAGGTCACATAATCTTGGCCGCTCCCTGCCTCTGCAAGACATAAGRAAAAGGAAGCCTGAGATCGGTTTCCATACAAAACTGCTTTTGGCTTTTGCTGTGTTTTCTACCAAGGGTGTGTGACAAAAAGTTTTCTTTTTTCCTTCACATTGTGAGAAATGATCTTATTAAAAGCATAAAAATGCAGACTGGAGATTGGCAGAGTATCCCTCAGTCCATCCCCATCCACAGTAAGTGCCAGCACACAAACTACTAAGGAGAGACAAACTAAGAGGAAAATACACATCATATCATATATACACATGATAAAGCATGAGCATTATCATGGGATAATCCCCAAACCCTAACTAACAGTCWTAACTTTTGTCTCCAGAGGTGAGACACCCAGTTCCAAGCCATAACCACAGTACCTCAGCTATACCCAGCAAATCTCACTAGAATCAAAGATGTCAAAGGCCCAATACTTAATTTTTTTTTTTACTTTACAGTCCCCTGATACCATTTAAGCCCCATGTTCACAAGGTCATGCAGCCATTAAGCAATATTTTTTGGGGAAGCAATTTCTCTTTCTGTGCAGCCTGTAAATCCTTATAGCCTCAAAGAAGTTATTCTGACTTTCATCTACATCAAGAAAAAGATGAGGCTGAGTGCAAACCAAACCAAAAAAGCAGAACCCAAATTCACACCATTACAAGAGCATGATCCATCCAAATTCTTAATTTCCTACTGCAGAAGGCTGGCACAGTAAGTCTTAGCATATGATTTTTCTTTCCTTCCCCATCAAGCAAAACTGCTTCTTATCATTCAGAATTGYAACAGAGACACTAATATATTTCTCTAACAACAGATAATTAAATATACACTGACTGTGCCCAGTATAAGAGAAGAGCTTTACTTATGCACCCATTGTTCTCATCAAGATGCTTTAGGTATCTCTCTCAATATTTGATTTTAGTAGTTCATTTCCACGGTTAAACCCCCAACCATAATTTCCAGCACCACTAAAAACACCTTCTGCATTTGTTAGTAAGATAACATAAAAYGGTTAATGCTTTAAACATCTCCATTTTAAAGCACTTAGTGAGGATGACACTTTCGTGAGGATGAGATAGGAAAAAAAAAGACAGAACAGAACAAAGAAAAATAACTTMTTCACKATGAGAGTAGTGAGGCACTGGAATAGGTTGCCCAGAGAAGCTGTGTGTGTCCCATTCCCGGAAATGTTCAAGGTCAAGCTGGAACAAGATAGTCTTTATGGTCCATTCCAGCCAAAATCATTTTGTAATTCTGTGCTTATTGGTCCTGCTACCTAAACTATGAAAACAACCACTCAGATAGAACTATTCTACTGATGATGCCACTATAACCACACATCAGAGCCTTGCAGGTGAGCTGCAAGCCACTGACTTTTCTTGATACTTAGTGTAACAATCCGGGAGGATCCTTGCTAACTTTATTTCCCCATGTAACTGTGCTAGAGAAGACAGAGATCACTGTTTGCAGTCAACASTGGGTCTCTGGCTCACTCAGCAAAGTCTGCATGAGGAATGTAAATGAAAGCAGAAGGAAGGAAAGGAATTGACATGCATTAGTAATTTTAATTATAGCTCATCACATATTACTCTGGCTCTTTTAATACACTCCCTAAATTCAACAGCTGAGAAATGAATTCATGTCACATAGCACAGACAAGGGCCAGCACAGGAAAGATAATGACAAGCAAATCATTTTTATGCATTCATCAAGAAGTTTATTTGCAAGGACTGACCCACGGATGAATACCACTACCTGCAGCAAGTGCAAGGAAGGTAAATGTATCATGACATCCCAGTAAAACACCACAAGACCCTCATTCAACTTGACTCACTGGTTGCAGTTCATTGGCATAAGGCTGAAAACAGGATGCCTTTGCAGACTTGATGAAACCTAATTAGTTACCATGGAGTCATTCTGCAGCATCACAGTCCCTTCTCTGTCTAATTTCCACCTTACTAAAAGGGAAGAAAAATGAGAGAAGTGAATYATACATCAACTTTTTTCCCAAACTTCTTAAGTTATCCACCTGTTWAGGAGAGCATCTTTAGGTCACGCATGAAACAGTTCTACAAATCAAAACAGATTAGCCATACAGCTGAAGAAAAACWACTTTGTCAAAAGTCAGATGGGATCGGATGACAAACTTCAAGACAGTATGAAGCACAACATGTTTTACCTGGTTTTACAATCCTTTTCATACAACAACCATGGACATATTTTGCAGAGATGTGGGATAACTTTGCAGTTAACATGCTGTTTTGGAGATGTGCGATTTCTGTGCCTAATGAAATCATTTATTTACCAGCAACTTTATCCCATTTCAGGTGTTTAKATCTGTTTCTTGTGTTCTCATCTAGTTCAATGTCTCTCTGAAACCCAGAGCAATCTAGGGGCATGCCTGCAGATCTGTGTAGAGCCCTCTGAACCAGAGGCAGAGCCATTAGGGTGCTGTTTAGAACAGTGCTGTTGGGTGAATCTTTGAACCAGAATGACTTGAATGGCCAACACAGCAGTATTGCATGTGGGATTGGAATTGACACCTCCATCAATTCTGCTAATTCTAGCCCATGTGTCTCTAACACAAAGCTGSAGAGGAGAACAGGTATATCCTGTGAAGAGGAAAGAATCTGGTCCATTTGTCAAATACTCTTTCTCGGGTCCCAGGCAGTGTTGAGGATTTGCAGAGAATCCAGCTCCCTAAACATGCATAGTCTTCATACCTGTCCAGGAACAGACTGTACCTGAGATGGAGTTCTAACTAAGAACATTCAGCTATCACTGAACCTACATCTTTCACCACAGTGACAACCTTATTCTTGTCTTATCAGTGTGTTTCCTGGGACAAGACGTAATATTAAGGTCTCTTAGCAAACCATGCTCACAAGGGAAGACCAGTGGCATTTYGCTTCTGCTGTGATACAATTTATTCCATGAAAGACCAATCAGTACCTAATCTGTCTTTTCTAGCAAGGTCAGTAAACCCAAACTTGCAAAAGATGAAAGATACATTACCTAAGCCTATCAGCACTGTCTGGCTTGCAGCCCTAGAGAGGTGAACTGCCCTTAATGGTCTTCCAAAATAATACTTTGGCAAGAGAACTGCTCTATGGCACCGCTAAAACAGAAGTAGTGGAACTATGAGGCAGTTTTACATACAAGAGACTTTTGGTTTGTCTTCCTATCTACCTGATCATGTTGAAATGWGTAATTTCTTAGAATTCCTTGATAATATTCTGGTTTTTTTGTAGAGCCTGGTGAATATACAGAGTTGTGGAAGGGAATGAGGGGTACTGAGCTGAGATTACCTGATGAAACTCTATCTGTTTCGCACATGACGTAAAAGGGTGAAAATGRGATATAGAGAACACCTGAAAACTCTTAGCTGGACTTGCAAACTACTTMGGGAAACAAAATCCATGACTCTTTAGCTCTGATCTAATAACTTTCAGTAAATGTTTACAGATCACACATGTCATAGAACTGAATTTCTTGGTAATTCAGTTAGCCCCTCCCAGAAGAAGCAAATATTATCCAGGTAGGTTTAAAAAGTTCTGGCTGCTCTGCTACTAAGTGCAAATTCATGAAAAAGAGTGAGCAAGTAAATTTAAGTTCATGGAGCATTTACTGTTTTGTTCTTTTTTTCCCCCTTAAGAAGATACATTTTCTAATCATGCCACATATAAATAGTTTATCAATGCCACTTATGCCTATTAAACCCCAGTATCTGGGAAATGCTGAATTCACAGATTAGAGATGTTTGGAGTGTAAAAAGCCTTAGTGAATAATTTAGGAAACCACAGATAAAGGAAACATAACGGGTTGTGCTCAGAGGTCTATTTTATTGACGGTGAACAAATTTGCTGTCKCAAAGTTTAAAAAAAGATCTAAGAGTAACTGCATTAAGTCTGTCAGACATAGGGATGAGAGGCTATTATTTTATCTTTCACAATCCTTTACTCAAGCCTGGCTTTTCACAGCTCATTGGAGAAAAAGCTTTTGAAATACATAATCAGAGTAGACATCTGTAGCCTTAATGAGCACGAGTCACGGTCCATCTCCAACAAAGATGCTACTGTAACAACACATTTAAATTCCAACTGGTAAAAGTGTAGAGCTGCAGCTTGGAAGGTTAAAGACAACAAAAATCAAATGCAGACAGGCAGAGCCTCTGCACATTATTTACTTTCAGTGCTTGGAGTTCTTAGGGCATCCAGCTAACGCGCCCAAAATTCTTATTAAATTTCTTATCCTTGATGATTTTATGTCCCACTAAAACAAGTCTTACATAGATTCTGTGCAGTGAACTCTCAGAATACTCTTTATTCTAGTGATGTTTTTCTAACTGAGTTATCTYTTTTCCCTATTGCCCTTCTCAGTGTTACAAACAAGATCTCTCTCAGCCAACACAGCACCCTGACCTTATGAAGTCTCATGCTAGCTCACCATTGTTCCCCTTCGAAACAACCTCACAGTTCCCATAGACACCAAAGATTTGTTTTCAACCACATTCAAAGCATGTCTTTGCCCTGCTTTGGCTTTCTCTGTTTCAGGCACAGARGAGATTCACTAATGGAGTTGTTACACATACTAAACAGACCTTATCTAAGGGAATTGGCCAGAGGAATACAATATGATTGTATCTTTGCTTAACAGGTAAATGGATAAGATTTCTGGGAAAGCAGCAGGATGAAGTTCCTTCCAGGTATGTGTATAACAGTGATGGCTTCACAGACAAAGACAACGGGTACCTGCACAGATGTCCCGGCTTCAAATGYCACCAGGTTATCCTGTGTTTAACTCCCTGCTAACAAGTGCCCCCAATGCCCACAGASCAGAAACACAGGAATCAGAACAGCCCTTGATCTAAKAAGCTGGAGCAAAGGGTGGATCTTTTCCTAGCTCTTGAAGTTGCCCATCAGGTCATTTTCTCCACCTCTACCTGGCTTCCTTGCCCTGCTATCCCCATCTGAAAACTAGACAGTGATGCTCTTGCATTC